GGTGGAGTTAATTAATAGTAGAGGGATGACATAAAGCCAATCCATAGTAGAAGCTTTAGATTGCACTATTTTTGATAGTAGAGGGACGATAGAGGGCATTAACCCAATTCTAAATACAGCAATACAAACAAGTCCTTAGGTGGGCAGTGTCCCCTACAAGGAGGACACATTGTGCTTTCGACACATGTTTGGCTACTCAGTCACAGTCAACAACTAAAAATTCCTAATCCCCCTACCTCAAATTGTACCTTCTCCAAAAAGCAAAAAATTTCAGTCAGCCACCCTATTTACATTTCTAGGACTGCACACAATCACAACTCACCAGAGTCAAATGCCGAACAAAGCTTCCAAATGGTCTCCACTATAGCCTCTTTAACCAAAATTCCAAGCCTCACCAAACGAACTGTAAGGTTCCATTTAGTATCGTTTTAATTTTTAAATTTATATATAATAATTACTATTATATTTAAATTAATAATTATTAAAAATTTAAATTGTAAACCAAAACTTTGCATTGAGTTGTCAGTTTTGGTTGTTCAAATTTTGATAGAAAAAGAAAAAGAAAAAGAAAAACAATAAAATGCGGCCCATTGTCATTTAGGTTTTTTAATTTTTAATGTAGCTTTGTCTTTCAGGCTTAGTTTCTAAAATCCCGACAGTTGACTTGATGCAATGGACTACAAAGTTGGGCCAGGGATTATTGGTGTTTCAATTGGGCTTTCAAAAGAAAATATAAAGTCTTTTGGGCCAAAATTGGGCTTTGAAGTTTGAAGTCTGCCTGTCAACATTTTCCCCCAGCTGAGTGCATGTTTGATATAACGTTAAAATTCAATGAATATTGAGCAGTGAGTAAAGAATAATAAATAATGGTAACGAGTATTTATCAAAAAAATAATAGTAGTGGGTAATAAGTGACAATTAGTAAACAGTAGCTGATAGGTAACGAAAAGTAGATAGTAAATTCGATTGATATAATTGTTTGATTATAAAATAATTAATTATTTTTATTTAATGTTAAATGAATAATAAGAATATATTTAAAAATAATTGAATATATTTTTTATATTTTATTATTAAAATTAT